GGCTTGGTCCAGTTGCATAAGTCTGCATATTCCATCCCTGCATCCACCCATCCATCCATCCATCCAACCATCCACCCCCCATCTATCCACCCACCCACACATCCACCCACCCATCCATTTCTCCCTCCTTGTGGATGATTTACTGCTCTTTTCTGAAAATCATCATTTTCCCTTCCACTCTGATCGAAACATCAGACCACCCCGTCCTCCCTCACTGCCCCTCCCAGCTGAGGGTAAGCAGAGAACAGAAGCAGAACCAAGGGAAAGGAGTGAAGGTTTAGGGAATATTTTCTCTTTTCTTTTTTGTGTCGTTGTATTTTTTGAGATAGGGTCTCACTGTGTACTTCAGGCTAGCCTTGAACTTACAGAGATCCTCCTACCTCAGCCTCCCTAGTGCTGGGATGACAGGCGTGTGCCACCATCCCTGGCTAGGAAACATTTTCTTGGTAGTCGCAGGCCCAGAGTTTCATCAGAAGCCCTGTGAGAAAGTCCTCGTTTTGCACATACACATGTGCGGCTAGGAGGTGTCTCTAGTGGATGCTATTTGTATGTCTGAATCTTACCCTGCTTTTAACGATAGTTGGTTACCATCCTGCTAGCCTACCAGGACCTAGCAAGACTGTGTCATTGGCTTCTGTCTCCATACGTCCCTATCAAGAGTTTTTTGCTTTCAATATGAAAACCTTCAATTTCGGGGTTTGTAGCAACCATAATTACATTAACTCAATACGGTATTTTAAAATTACGTGGCCAGGGATGTAGCTCAGTGGCAGAGCACTTGCCGAGTATGCACGAGGCCTTTAGATCAATCCCAGTATTGCCCTAAATTTTTAAAAATTATATTTAAAATCACTTTTCAAGAGCCTTATGATTATGGCTGTTGCTCACAGTTACTCTGTTGAAAATCACTGCTAAGCCAGGCATGGTGGCACACACCTGTCATCCCAGCACTTGGGAGGCTGAGGCACGAGGATGACACTGAGCTTGAGGCCAGCCTAGGCTACATAGTGAACTCAAGGCCAGCCTGAACTACACAGTGAGACCCTGTCTGAAAACAAAACTAAACAGATCATCACCACGAAAGCCAAGAATTCCAGGAGGCTTTTCCATGTAAAGTCCAAAACCAGGCTGGACAAGGTGCTTCCGAGATTATCAGGGAACAGGCGAGCCTTGGGCAAGAGGTGACGTTACCCGACCTTACAGAGGAGACAGCTTCGCTCAGGAAGTGGGGTCACAGCAAGCGGCCAAGCCGGGAGGCGAACGTGAGTTACCTGTAATCGGGAGGAGCTCCCTCGGCCAGGTGCTGCCTGTGGCCATGGCTTCAGGGTGCAGAACAGAACTTGCCCTGACTAAAGGCCCGGATGTGTAGACACATTATTAACCACGATGCCATTGCCACATAGAAACCAGAAGTTCAGCACTATCCAGTAGAAAGAAAGTGGGATGTATATGTCATTTTAAATTATGGCCACATCAGAAAAAGTACAAAGAAAACCTATAGTCCCAGCACTTGGGAGGCTGAGACAGGAGAATGGTGAGATGGAGGCCATCCTGGACTACATAGCGAGACCCTGTCCTGAAGAAGAGGAAGAGGAGGAGGAAAAGAAGAAGGGAAGGGAAAACGGAAGGAGAAGAAAGAGGAGCCAGGCATGGTGGCGCACGCCTGTAATCCCAGCACTCAGGAGGCTGAGGCAGGAGGATCCTTGCGAGTTCGAGGCCAGCCTGGGCTACAAAGTGAGCTCAAGGCCAGCCTGAACTGCATAGCGAGACCCTGTCTCAAAAAAGACAAAAAAAAAGAGTATTAGAAGAAGAAAAAGGAAAAATAAAATCACTAAGTGACATTGATTTTAATAGTTTCTTTAATATATTCAAAACACCATCTCAAAGTGGAGCTTGAACTCACGATGTGGCATTCTCCATCCTCCCCAGACCCCTTTGCCACCCTCTGTGCTTTCCCCACACAGACGGGGCCCTCGAGCTACGATGCTCAATTCTTGCAGCTGCCGCTGGACCTGCACAAAAAAAATCACATTTTCCTACAATCACAGGAAGTACGAAGAGCAAAACCCTCTTTTTCAGAATGCTTTTCTGCTCTCGTCGTTTATGTAACCTTTATGAAATCTGGCCTTTGTTTTCCTGACAGCATCATCCCCAGCACAAGTGACCCACGCCCCAGTACCTGTGGGACTAAAGCGACAGCCCGAGGCCACCCCCGGTTGGTCTGTAGAAGAAATCAGCAGGATGCCTGCCGAGGGCCAGGGTCCTCGGTCGCGCTGACATCTTGTTATTCTGAAGCTGAAAGGAGACCCCAGCTCGCCCCGTGAGGAAGGGCCCCGTGCATCCCTGCCTGGGCTCGGCTTCCATTGTGCACGTTTCGTGTGAATTAAGAAGTACACTTTCATGTGCGTGTGCACCGTACCTTCCGTCCAAACCCGTGAGCTTTCTTTGCAGCTCAGACCACTGCCTGGCACACACTGGATTCTTCGAGCCCCGCGGTGGCGTCCTGGGGACGCGTGGCAGGGCAGTTTGTCTGGAGGTGATCCAGTCTCAGTGACCCGGAGGCGTGCCGCGGACCGCCAGCACAGCTGCTAACCGTCCCCTGGCGCCCAGGACAACCCCTCACGACACAGAACCCCATTCTGGCGCGAAATGTCGCTCATGCCGAAGGGGAGACTCTGGTCTGCTCTCCTGCTGAGGTCCTTCCTCTCTTCCTCCTCGTCCTCTCCGCGTAAACCCAGTGCAGCAGCTCAGGTCCTCCTGTGCCCCAGGAGCAGGCGCCATTGGCAGCGCGTCTTCGTTCTTCTCCTTGTTGTCTTCCATCACTCCAGGTGGTTGTGCGCTGGCCACCTGGGGATTGCGCCACAGCCTGGGCTGGGCCGAGCTCCTCC